TGGGATTGTGACGCTTACATGAGACACTGTTTGAAGAGGACATCATCATTCCTGGCACTTAGTGTCGGATGTATGTTCATTCCCTTTTCTGTGACTATGAATGGGATGTGAGCATTGGCTCAGGAGCTCAGGTTTTAGCGGCAGTACCATATTCTCAGACCCATCTGACATGAATGCGTGGTATTAACTATTTCAGATTTACTGGTGAAATCATATGAAATTCCACTTTCTTAAAATCAGCATTAATTCATGCAACATGGATATCTGCTAGACTCTCTGCTAAGCTCTGGAGGTATCAATGAAGTACAGTCCTCATCTTAAAGCAGTTCTGAGTTTAGGGGAAGGCCCAGCACATAACAGACAAGGATTACTTCTTGTCAATCAAGCAAGGAGGATGGAGGATGAAAAGGTATTGGGGTGGGGAGGCATTTTGAATAAGGACCCTGAATGAATCAGATGGAGGTGTCTCAAGGAACCTACTTAAAAAAACACAGCCCTTAAATACATTCATTCTAGAAGTTTAATTTTTATGAGTAATTTTTTTTGTCCTTCTTACAGTTAACTACAAAAGTTAAGCCCACTTTATCACCTTTTCTTATTATGTGCTCTTATGTTGGTGTTTTTTTTTTTTTTGTAACCTCAAATCCTATTTACCAAGAAAACCACTCTTTCTCCCACATCTTTTCCAATCATCACATCAAAAGTAGCAGGCACTCAAATAATTAAATTCACTGAGCTCTCTCAAAAATGTAGATCTCCAGGCCCTGGATGGCTCAGTCAGTTAAGCGTCTGACTGGTGATTTCAGCTCAGGTCATGAGCTCACGGGTTGTGGGACTGAGCCCAGCCTGGGGCTCCACACTCAGCGGGGGGTCTGCTTGGGATTCTCTCTCTCCCTTTGCCCACTTGTGTGCACTTTCTCTCTCTTAAATAAATAAATAAATCTTAAAAAAAATGTAGATCTCTATGGGTGTGTTGTCCAAGCCACCAAGACTGTGCTGAGGTCTCTGAGCACCACAGATACCTATGTGCAAGTTTACTGTCTTCGAGGCACATGGATATATGCTTGGTCTCAATTGCATATCAGCGTCAGGGTTCATTCAGGTGTATTGAGCCTGAATAAGGAACGAGCAATACGTGGTCCGCTGGTCATTGTGTAACACTGAAGCATGCTTTTGTTTGAGTTTACTGTTATAATGACTTGTGGGTTCAAGTTGTGTTTATATGGCACACTCACAAACAAGGGGAAAAAGGAAAGGGTTCAACTAGCAAGCTGATCATGCGCCCTTCGTGGAATACTGACGATTTTATTATTTTCTAACTTGGCCAAATGAGTGAAGTATCTTAGGAGGTAACAGGTACAGATTTGGACAAGTGTTCCATCTGGTGTAGGTTATTTTTGTTCCAGCTTAACTTCTTGAAGATCTATTTTATACGGAACCAGCATGTACACTTGCATGTGGCTTCACATTTACTTTTATGGAAAGGTGAAACTCCACATGCAGACTGAGGCGCCTGGCTTTGTAGTGTCCAGGCTCATTTACAGCATAACTGCCCCTTCTACCACCTGGGGCATTGCCGATGTAGCAGTTAATGATGCTCACTGCTTTGATTTGCCAGAGTGTAGGGGAGAAAAGTAAATACTATATTCCTATAAGGTAGAACCAATTGCTGGCTTCTCTTCTCACGATAATTTTTTTTTTCCCATTTGAAGTAGCCTGTGTGAGATGCAGATGGCTCAGTGATCCCGTTATACATGGCATCTCACACATCTTAACCAATTAGAAAAGGCTGTAGAGAATTACATGGAATTAATCCCATCCAGAAGGTGTAGGGACAGCCTCAACTACTCAAACTCTAGTTACTTGGTTTACAATGTCACAAGAGCCCCTTGATGGGATTAAAGCCGTGTATCTCCAGGCAGTTTGTCTATTATTTCTTGTGAACTCTGTGTGTGTGTGTGTGTGTGTGTGTGTGTCTACAACTGTGTCAGCATTTGTCGGGGGTTAACAGTAAGCTCTCACATTCATTTTATTCAATCTGCCAAGCCATAAGGCCCTTTGAAAACGGCCACTTCTTTTATACTTATAAAAAACATGCCATTTAGTTGACTTCTCTTGACTTTTTCAAGTGTTTGTTTTGAAGTTTCATTTATACAGGAACTAGGCATAATCACCAATAAATTTAACTTTAATAACTCAGACCCTGGGAGCCTTTCCTGGTTGGCAAAAACTTCCCTACATGCTGCAAATCCTCCTTATGGGATATCCTATTTCTTATCTGAAGTTGAAAGTCAGGATTAATCCAGATGATTAAGAAAATCTTTCTAAAGGATACCCTGCATCCTCTTTAAAATTAAACTCTCCTTGGAAGTTTCCTTTCTTTTCTTACTAAAATCATAATGTCAATGATAAAAGTAAAAGTAGATCACAGGAGTTTGGGTGTTTTCCCTAGGTATTTTTAAAATTCAAAGACAGTGCGATCCTCCCTGTTTCTTAGACCACAAAAATGACATTAGAATATAATTTTCAGTCTAATTACTAATACTCAATATTCATTTTACAATGTATTCAATATACTAAAGAAGTTGCAGGAGTATATAAAGGAAAAGTTTTTGATTCTTTCAATGAAATTATCCATTTGAAAAGTTCCCACATCCTATGTACCACATATATGTGCTTCAGGAAATACATGTACACACACACACACACACACACACAATTCACCTGCTCTGTAAATTCTGAAAGCCAGAAACTCTTCTGCAGATAGCATTACTGAAGATTTCCCTCCCTTCCTTTTTGCTTTCTAAGGCCTGGAACTCCAAGGCTCCTTCCCAGACAGTCAGATATGCTATAAAAAGTAACATCAGCCATGGGGAATATAGAGGGACAAGGGATATGCCATAAACAGGGACAAACATCTTCCTCTATGCAAACCTGCCAGATCCCTTTAAGCAGAGAACTGCTCCTTGTCTCCACTGTGGCCCCTTTTTCCTGTCCAGGGACCAATGAACTGGGGCTTTCCCTCCTAAGTGACCCACCGTGAGAGGCTTAGATAAGGCACAAAGTTGCCCTCAATAGACTTCAAACCCCCACCTCTGGAACAAAGTGGAAAAGTTATACTTTTGTTAGCACTCTATCAAGGAGAAAAAAACCCAAGGAAAACATCCACTGGACAAAGCCTACTTTGTGTGCCGAGAAACCCTGATCCTGGACTATTGTCTCTGGTCTTATTTATGCAAGAAATGACTTTTCAGAGTTTTAGCAAAATTATCAGCAGGGCAATTATAATACTCTATGTTTATTTGGTTAGTACACTCTCTATTATCTAGGGGAAGAAAACATTCAAAAAATTTTCTTTAAACAAAAAGTTACAGAGGAAAGAATAAAATGTTCATTTCTGAATAGGAAAGCTCTCACTTGTGAAATGCCCTGATATGATAAGAAATGTACTTTATGCCAAACCTTATGAAACTTATTCTATACATGTGCTGTGTAGACATATCATATGCTTACGCTTTTTTATTATGTAGTATATATATGTATACATAATATACATTATGATTCCAACAATTTATGTGTAAGCAAGTGCATCTATGAGACCCAATGGCTTTTCTTGACTAACCCCAAATCCAAGTAGACTTTAAATTATATGTAGTGCTTTCAGTTTGTGGGAGAGGCAAAGAGCACTAGAGCACAGAGAAGGAGCGGGGGACGCATGGGTTTAGGGGATCCATGGTCCAGGTTCTGAGTCTCAATTCCACACTTTACTCATTAATAGACCCTAATAAATATGATTTTATTTTGATTTTTGAGCTGTAATATTAGGATAACCTTAATATCTCCCTTACAGACCTGCAGTCACACATGTAAAAACCTCCATTGCAAAGTAGGCATGAGAAATAAGCTTTAAAGATGGTTAAGTGCCGGAGGTAGGTAACTGCAGAGTGACTTAATTTTCTTTCTGCCTCCCCTGGAGAGGACAAGGGGGTCTTGAGAAACCTTTGCTATAATATGCCAGTGAACTTTTAAGCTAAAATCTGTCATCCACTCAACAAACATCTATTAGTGATTCTGGGCCAGGCTCTGTATCAGATACTAGAAGAGTTCTGCAAAGTGATTCAGGGAGCTGCAAACGTTTGATTTGAATTTTATTTGAGAAAAGAATAGAAATGGCAGGTGTGTTTGATGAGCTGTTTATTAACTCTTTTTTTAAGATTTTATTTATTTACTTGAGAAGGAGCATGAGCAGGGGGGAGGGGCAGAGGGAGAAGGGGGAGCAGACTCCCCGCTGAGCAGGGAGCCTGACTTGGAGCTTGATTCCAGGACCCTGGGATCATGACCAGAGCTGAAAGCAGACTGTTAACTGACTGAGCCACCCAGGCGCCCCTAAATTAACTCTTTTGACACCACTAATGTCTTAACTTGTACACTCAGGTTAACTCATTTTTGTGTAGACTCAGAATATAACTTCTCCTGCCTTCTCTGAAAATATTTTTATTTCTAAATGTGCCATTGAGTAGGAACATAATGATGCTTAAATGTTCCTTTAAAAATTCAGGCCCACCCATGTGTGCTCATGTATAAGCACGCAACTGTGTTATATGAATGTTGGGCTCGGTTAAATGCTGTGTCAGGCCTGGGGATCTGCCCAGAACATGCTCTGTGCCCTATGTAACTACAGGTTCGTGCAAAAACAAATGACAAGCTACCTTATTCAACAGTTTACGACACCATAAACTTGGGTGCTTCTCTTCTGGCTTTTATATTTATGAAAAGGAATGAACAGTTATTACATTATTACTGATGATACAGTTTTTGAAATGAAATATTCCTAGCCACTTTTTCGGAGAGTATGTGGAGATTGCAAGGGGAGCTCTGCGAAAGTGTTACCCTTTGTAAAGACTTCTGCGGTTGAATTAGGATTTCATTCTTAGTACTGTGCAACCAAGACAAAATCCAGCAAAAAATGAAATACTGAGACTGATTTCAAATTACTTTCCAGCTTTGCACAGTGGCAGTTTCGTAGCCAATGAGGTTTATCCGAGGCGCGATTATTGCTAATTCAAATTACTTTCCAAATAAAAATACTGGTTGTGCTCAATGATGATTTAGTAATAAGTCGATGTTATAAATTAATTATATAGAAGAAATACACTAGTAAAATAATGTTTTGTCTGTTTCTATGCCGGGGCGTCAAGTGCTATTGAACAAGTATGGAAACCATGGCTTGAGGTATGACTTTCTCCAAAAGGAAGGTCATGGGAAGAGAGCAGCAGAAGTGCTGCAAAAGTTCTGCTTAACACAGTGCTATTTTCATTGTTTCTGGAAAAAATGGAAAAGTAAGACCCAGACATGTAGTTTGAATGGTAACACGGACAGAAGTGTTCTATATGACATAAGTGAACGTTGAATAGAATTTGGATGAGATGGTCTCAAATCATGTTTTACTCATTTTATGCATAAGATCCCTTTTGTAAAAGCATTTTCATATTGCATCTGTCCCTTCCCGTAGACTCAGAACCATGCATATATCTGGACAAGGCTCATGTGGATTCTTCTGGTTCTGTGGGGCTTATTTCTCCTTGAACTGAAATGTCAATTCGTCCTTGATTTTTTAAAAAATTGTGAGAAACATCACTTGGATGTTCAAAAACGAAAGCACAAGCTTTATAAATATTCCTGTGGGAATGTTTCCCTGCTGTGGTCAACATTCAGAGTGGACTACATTCACAGTGTCCATCATTGTTCTATTAAGACCAAGGAGTAAATATCACTTCCTGTTTCTGGATCCTACAAACTGAAAGGAAGGAAAGAAGAAATAGGGAGCGACCTGCCGGCTGCTAAAGCTGATGCTTCCCCTTTGATGAGGATTGGACGGAGGCTATATATTGCCTCCAAAGCTTTTGTGCATTTGCGGAAGGGGTGGAGGTATTAGAAAAGCCTGTATTGGGGCACCTGGGTGGCTCAGATGGTTAAGCGTCTGCCTTTGGCTCAGGTCATGATCCCGGGGTCCTGGGATCATCGGGCTCCCTGCTCACTGGGGAGCCTGTTTCTCCCTCTACCTCTGCCTCTCTCTCTCTTTCTCTGCCTCTCATGAATAAATAAATAAAAATCTTAAAAAAAAAAAAAAGAGAGAGAGAAGCCTGTATTGATGCAGTGCCCTGCATGGGTAATGGTGTTCAATTATTATTCCATTTATAGTCTTGATAGTTAAATGTTGGCCGTTATATTAGTGATAATTTACAGTTACTTTTTGATCTGTTGCACCTGTACTAGACAATTAAATAGATGCAAATTCCCATCTAGAAACTAGGGATATATTTTATTGTATCTTATTCTCTAGGGCATTCGTGATAGAACTGTCTTCCTAGTTGCCCATTTCCTCATCACCCAGCTGCCTATTTCTTTTGATGCTCCTGGTCCAGTGAGGTCTCATGCCTCTCCTGAAATCTGTTTGCAGGTTAGCATTGGTGGTATCAGCCTTGCTGATGTTACTTCATTTCTCTAGTGCTCCTTCTTCCAGGGGACTTGTCTTACATTTTTGTTCATTTTATCTTTCTAAGACTAATCTGTACTTCTATGTCCATCTTCATAGGTTTTCAACAGGACTTTCCTGCATAGAACCCAAATGACCTAAGATAAATTCTGTCATTTTTCATTTTGGAACTCTGCTCCCCACCCCTCCCCAAGACTAGGTTAACATGACCAATGTATTACCTCTTCCAGAATTGGAATAGCCTCTATTGGTCACCACCCAACTAAACTGAACATAAATTAGTGGAAAGATCCTTGATCATCCAATCTCTCTCATCCCCTACACGAGTCACTTAAAACAAAAGACATTCAGAGGTAATCATCTGAAAATCCTGCCAATGTAAAAAATAAGCAAAACTTCAAAAACGTGTTAAAACAGGTGGAAAGGGATGCATCCTTATGCTTAACTGAATATACATTTGAAATCATTGTTTTCCTTTTACAAAATAATTATGTGGGGGCAAGAGTAGCCTAGAGGTTAGATTTGGTCTGAGTTCTTGAGATACAAGCGTGATGGGAACTTAGTCTGTGTTCGAAAGCAAGTCACTCCTTGCATTCATTTCCTTAACTATAAAATGGAAGTACTTCCTCCATCCTGAGCGTCCTCGGTCTTACTGTCAGAGAAGGGTTTTGTAATCCACTGCTGAAAGGCATTCAGCAAGTTCAAAGCACTAATATTCAGAAAGCTTTATCATATTTATAATTCTTCCCATGGGTATAAAATGATTCTTCCTAGTTTTATTCCCTACACAGACTAAAAGAAGAGCTTCAGATTCTTCAATACTATCGACATAATACAGTGCTCCAGCTATGTACACGGACAAAACTCTTCCCATCCTCTTTTGATTTGCCCCATGCGCTGAGCCCAAGACAAAAGAACGGACTACTCACAAGTGGGACTCATGTGAAAATTGAAACTTCATGCTCCATTTTATTAAGGGCCTTGCTTTCTTTCAGTGGGTTAGAATAATTGGGAATAAAGATAAACACTGTAAAATAAACATGAACACTGAATTAGTCCAATAAAGTAAATGTGAATCAACTGCTCACCAGCAAGCCCAGTGGACAAATGGGGGAACTGCAAGAGTCAAAAAGCTATTGATGAATCCAATCCATTATTTCCCCAGGCACTTTATTTAAATACATTATTCGAATCGATAGAAACAATACCTAATTATAAAATACATGATAATTGTCACAATTAGGGTTTTCTTCAAGACAATAGTGAGCCCAGAAGAGAAGAGAGCACCTGGCGGGCAGCATGGATGGAGAGGGGAAAGGGTGAAGGCCCAACAGACGTGATGGTCTCACAAAGTTCTAAAGGGAGAAAAGAAGAAAGACTACATTCAATGTGTGCCAGGTTTGTGCCAGGCAGTACGCTAAGCACCTCACACGCACTTTCTCATGGAATCCTAATGAGGAATTTGCAAGATAAGCCTCATGATTTTTTTCCACATTATTGAAGCTGAGACCTTGGATCGTTTTTCCAGGTACCAAATAATAGAACGAGAAATCTCTCTGGTTTCATATGGGTCCCATTCGAACTGTTTCTACCACATTCTGACACCATTTTGGGAAAAAGTCTGTTGAATCCGAAAACTGTTGTTAGGTTTTTTTATTATGATTTGTTAATAAGCACACCAAAATAATACTGTTAGTTTTCCTCTTGGCTTAGTGTATCTCTTTCACTTCTGTATGGCCATATTCCCTTTTCTCCAATCACAGTTGGATTGAAAACCTTTTTTAATAATTAGATTAAAATCTGTTTTAAATATGGTATTGGTGGTGAAAATATACACATAGCAGGTATAGTGCTTGGTATCTCCCTTATGTAGTGATGATAAAGGTGAAGAGGCATCGAGATGAAATTAGAGAAATTTTGGCAAAAGGCATAAGAAGAGAGAACAATTTTTTGAACACTTCTTTTGGGAAATTTGTTCTGAGTTGTGTACTAGGAAAGGAAAACCCTGGTTCTTGGAAATTCTATGAGGAGAAACCAATGTGAAAGTGATACACTTGTGATACACAATGTGAAAGAGATACACTAAGCCAAGAGGAAAACTAACAGTATTATTTTGGTGTGCTTATTAACAAATCATAATAAATAAACCTAACAACAGTTTTCAGATTCAACAGACTTTTTCCTGGATTGTTCTGAAGAAAGCAACTTTTGTCCCAACCATTTCTATCCCTCAGTGTCTGCCTCCAGAGAGTCTCTAGAAAGGACTTTCCCCTTGTAAGATTAACTCTGAGCTGTCCCCTGCCTCCTAGTGCCTCAGAGCTCCCTCTTTACTCCCCTCTCTCCAGTGCTCTCTAGGTCACCTTTCTTTACTTCTCAGATCTCTAGTTTCACTCCCCTGGCAGTTCCTCTCTCTTATCTGAGACCCTGGGGCTAGGAACTGCCTTTGTTTCTGCACTAGATGTCCACACTTCCAGCTGCTTTCAGAACAGCACCCGGGTTCTCTCTTTTGTCTGTCAAACTGAAGGATGAACAAGGGCAGAGATCCACAATGTTTCTTCTTCACTGACCAGAAGAACACTGAGTTTCATCTCATCAAGGCCTGGGCGGGAGCGAGTATCCATAACTGGAAGTCCTTGTGGGGGCTTGATACTCATGAACTTGGACAAGTCTAAAACTGGCAAGGAGGCTAGCCTTGCCACACCCAAGTGTGTATTTTTTTGGGTGCACAGTATTTTGAAGTAGCATTTGAATTTCACATTGTTTTAAAGTGGCTTTTGCTCTCTAAGATTCTGATGGTAAATATCTCTTTTACTACAGAGAATGAGGTTAAGGGAATGGCAAATGAAGCTCAAACCTACTGCTTTTGAAACACAGCTCTGAGAAGACATCCTGGTTTCTGGCACATGAAACTTAAGTACGGGGACTAGGAGAGCCTGTGTTTAGGAGCTTGCTCTGCTTTTTTTTTTTAATTAAGATTTGCTCCATTTGGGTATTTACAATGTCTCTCTCCTATCTTTTCTTGTTACTGCTTTTTTTTTTTTAAATCTTCAAGTTTTAAAATTCTTTTTTTCTTACTCTCCTTATTTTTTTTTTCCTTTTGGTATTTTTTTAATTATGTTTTGTTAATGACCGTACATTACATCATTAGTTTTTGATGTAGTGTTCCATGATTCATTGTTTGTGTATAACACCCAGTGCTCCACGCAGTACATGCCCTCTTTAATGCCCATCACCAGGCTAACCCACCCCCACCCCCGCCCCTCCAGAACCCTCAGTTTGTGTCTCAGAGTCCATAGTCTCTCATGGTTCGTCTCCCCCTCCGATTTCCCCTCATTTTTCCCTTCCTACTATCTTCTTCTTCTTCTTCTTTTTTTTTTTTAACATATAATGTATTATTTGTTTCAGAGGTACAGGTCTGTGATTCAACAGTCTTACACAGTTCACAGCGCTCACCATAGCACATATCCTCTCCAATGTCTATCACTCTCCCTATTTTTGACTTTTGTTTTTATAAGTTATCATCTTTAAGAGAAGCAGGAATGATTTAAGCTCACGAAGAGAAAGGTATTCATATATACCAGCCCTATACAATAGAACTTTCTGAGATGATGGAAATTTTCTCTATCTGCCCTGTCCAATA